TTACTTAGACAACTGCCGAGTGCGTTTGAAACTCCACTGTGCCCACGTGGAACAGTAGGCTGACACAGGCTAAAAAGACTCAGCACAAGATAACGCATTGTTGCTAAAGATAATGTTGGCTTGTAAGTGCGTGAATTCCAAAGTAGGCTGTACGAGGCACGATAATTGGACGCGAGGCTGTGTGGTGTGTGTGTGTGTGTGTGTGTGTGTGTGTGTGTGTGTGTGTTGTGGGTGAGTGAGTGTGTAGGCAGTGAGTCATTTGTGGAGAAAGCGACCGAAAGGAATTGAAAACACTTGAATTCTCGAGTCTAAAGAAAAATAGTATTTTTAATTATAATTTGAAGTATCCAATTCTATTGGAGTATTTATCAAAAAGCTGATTACAAAGTTGTTTACTTGTCTGTGCATTTATTCTTTTGTTTTCTTTCTAGTGATTTATCAGTTTAAGTCTTGACATGAGTGTGACAAAGCCAGTAATGCTATGGCAACAACATTAATTTTTTTTTTTTGAAAATTGGTTTAAACATTTAAGGTTATTCGCAATTATTACAAATCCATGTAGGCTTAGCAGTTACAAAGGGCTTCTTTTACAAAAATGAATTCATATACCAGAGTTTCAATTACAGGTAGTACATAGAGACCAAGTTAAAATCGAAGTGTTAACTGAATTTCTGGAATGTTGATAAGGACCCACCTAATCCGTTTTGACGTGAACGAGGGAAATACTGCTTCTAATAACCACCAATATACATTGGACAAATATGCATCAATGAAATTTCAATTATTTTTTTTCACCCGCTAATTTGTAATTTCTCACTTTTGTAAAGACGTTAATATGCGAAAAGTTAAGCCGTACATGATTTGGAGAGAAACACCGAGAATTATTGGAATACGTTGTTTCGAGTGTAATTAAAAGTTTCAAAAAAACAATTATATATTTATTGAAAACACATGTACCAACTTTACTATTGCACGTGCCTGTACGTACAAATTACATCTGGATACAACCGAATATGTTATATTTATCGTCACAATGTTATAAACTTTAATGACATGTTGAGGTTTTTTTTTGAAAATCTTAATTTTATTTTGTGGAAACAACGTACACTCCCACTCGGCGCCTGCCTCGCCCATCGCATTTCTAGGCGACCGCGGCCGCACTCACCGCACAGCTTTCTCGTCCTCGCCGCCCGCGCAGTCGCGCACGCCGTCGCAAGCGCAGCGTGAGCCGGCGCGCACCAGCCCTCGGGGCACAGGAACTCCGTTCGTTGCCGCAACGAGCCTGGCAACAGCGCGTCGTTCACCACCTTCGACACCGCTGCCGCGCGGCGGGCACGCGGCACAAGGGCGATGGATGGACCTTTCAGAGGCAGAGCTGAGGGCTCCCGGACCCCGCTCATTAGGGATTCGATTAAAAACGTTAAGTCCGGAGCACATGGTCAAGCTGGGACGCTGTCATTCCAATCGCGAACTTCAAAGTCACCATTCCTGATCAGGCGTATGAGGACGTTCAAAGCTCCCGATTGGATGACGGCATCACATCTGATTGAAGTGTCAAGTGGTCTTGAAAATAATTATATTATTATACATGCAAAAAATTTACTTTTATAGTGTATTATGAAATGATGGATATTAATACACATTAATTGCCAATAAAGAGGAAGAAACGAGCTAGTGAGATATTGATAACCACCACCATCGGTAATTTGCTACAGGCCTTTTTACGACTAATGATATATATTTTAATAATATATATATTATATATATAATATATATAATATCTCTCTTTCTGGGCGCCGCAAGTGGGCTGTTAGTTGCCCCATCCGAGCGTCGCCCTCGGCCGCCCCCGCCTCCACTCTCCCTTTCTACTGCCCATTCACCTCCGCGCGCGACCTTGAAGACGCCTAGAGGCGGCAAAACGCAGCGGACGCGCTCCGTGAAACGCGCGCCAAGCGGAGCGGATGAGGACGCCTCCTCTGCTCCCCCCCTGCAACGCCGCGGCTCCTTCACAGTCGCTCGCGCGCCTCTTTTCCTGCGGTCCTCGACTCTCGCGGTCCTCGACTGTCGCGGTCCTCGACTCTCGCGATCCCCGCCTCTCGCATCCCCGCCTCTTTCCGCAATCCCCGCTTTCTTCGCAATCCCCGCCTCTCGCAATCCCCGCTTCTCGCAATCCCCGCCTTCTCGCAATCCCCGCTTCTCGCAATCCCCGCCCTCTCGCAATCCCCGCTCTCGCGATCCCGCTTCTCGCCAATCCCCGCTTCTCGCAATTCCCCGCCTCTCGCAATCCCGCCTCTCGCACCCCGCCTCCCGCAATCCCCGCCTCCCGCAAATCCCCGGCCTCTTCGGCAATCCCCGCCTCTTCGCAATCCCCGCTCTTCGCAATCCCCCGCTTTCTCGCCGATCCCCGCCTCTTCGCGATCCCCGCCTTCTCGCGATCCCCGCCTCTCGCGATTCCCCGCCTCCTCGCAATTCCCGCCTCTCGGCAATCCCCGCCTCTTCGCAATCCGCCTCTCGCGATCCCCGCCTCTCGCGATCCCCGCCTCTCGCGATCCCGCCTCTTCCATCCCCGCCTCGCATCCCCCTTCTCCGATCCCCGCCTTCTCCCTCTCCGCAATCCCCGCCTCTCGCAACCTCACCCGCTTCTCCATCCGTCTCCAATCCGCCTCTCGCAATCCTCTCGCAATCCCCGGCCCCTCGCTCCCGCTTCACTATCCCCGCTCTCGCTCCCTCCCAATCCCGCCCACCCCCGCGATCCCCGCCTCTCGCAATTCCCTCTATCCCCGCCTCTCGCAATCCCCGCCTCTCGCAATCGCCCGCCCCCTCTCGCAATCCCCGCCTCCGCAATTCCCCGCCTCTCGCAATCCCCGCTCTCGCAATCCCCCGCCTCTCGCCAATCCCCGCTCTCGCAATCCCGGCCTCTCGCAATCCCGCTCTCTCTCGCAATCCCCGCCTCTCGCAATCCCGCCTCTCGCAATCCCCGCCTCTCGCAATCCCCGCTCTCGCAATCCCCGCCTCTCGCAATCCCCGCCTTCCATCCCGCCTCTCGCATCCCCGCCTCTCGCAATCCCCCGCTCTCGCAATCCCCGCCTCTCGCAATCCCCCTCCGCAACCCCCGCCTCTCCAATCCCCGCCTCTCGCAATCCCCGCCTTTCGCAACCCCCGCCTCTCGCCAATCCCCCCTCTTCGCATCCCTCTCGCAATCCCCGTTCGTCGCAATCCCCGCCTCTCGCAAATCCCCGCCTCTCCGCAATCCCCGCTCTCGCAATCCCCGCCCTGCCAATCCCCGCCTCGCGCAATCCCCCGCCCTCGCGCAATCCCCGCCTCGCGCCAATTCCCGCCTCGCGCAATCCCCCGCCTCTGCGCAATCCCCGCCTCGCGCAATCCCCGCCTCGCGCAATCCCCGCCTCGCGCAATCCCCGCCTCTCGCCAATCCCCGCCTCTCGCAATCCCCGCCTTCCTCGCGACCCCCCTCTCGCGAACCGCCGCCTCTCGCGACCGCCGCCTCTCGCGACCGCCGCCTCTGCGACCGCCGCCTCTGCGCGCGGACCCCGCTCTTACGGCCTCCACCCCTCGCCCTCCCTCTCCTCTACCTGCCTGACCCAACGTTGTCCCATCGAATGTAAACATTTTGTGTATTTAACGTATCTGCAAATATTAAATTCAAGCAATACGAACATTGAATAAAGATCTCTTATAACTACAGATGTACACTTGCACTTGTCTCTAGTATATCTAATTAATTTTACATATTGAATATGAATATATTATAATATCTCTCTATATACCTACACGTGTTTTTTAACATTTTTCTATTCGTCATTAATACATCTTGAATGTTTTATGCTGCATTTCTTACTCCCCAGAGGAGCATGCCTAATACGTAGCCTATGTGAATCGTGAACCTGTTATATTCGTGACTGCTCGTCACGATCAATATAATTGCGGAGGCGGTGACGACCTACTTACCAGAGAGTGTTATGTGTGATCAAACTAGAAATCAACGATGAAAGATAAGTGTACCCTTCTCTCGGACATATTGCGAATTCAACCTTTGATCTAACAAAACCATTTCGAGTCATCGAATACGCGTGAACGACAGGATTTCAGCGACTTGGTCTAATATTGAGTTAAGAACATTTATTGTCCTGGTACAATATCACATTCGCGAACAGACGACAGCAATTCTGTTCGTCTATCCTTCCCTACACCCAACATGAACGAAAACGTTCGGCGCTTGCAATGAGGACCCAACTCAAAATATCAAGTATTGACATAAATGAGTTTGAATGTTTTCACCGTGTTACTGAAATGCACATTCTTGCATTCACCTTTCTCCATTTGTTGGTGGAATACAGTACTATAAGCGATGCTGCTGTTGCTTTCGAATTTAGACATTCCTCTCTCCTTTCTTCCTTCCCTTTCTCTCTCCATTCCTCCTCCTTCCCCCCTCTCTCCCTCTTGCCCCCTCTCTCAACTCTTGCTACCTCTCTCTTTCTCTATCGCCCTTTCTCTCCCTCTTTCTCTCTCTCTCGCCAACTGTCTTCTTCTTTTTCCATTTTTCCTTTTGTTTTTCTTTCGTTTTTCTTTAGATACGAAATTCACGAAAATCAACACGCATTGTTTGTGATATGTTGTGTGACATTGCAATGTTAAAAATTCACTGCAAAGGAGTTTTCTAATACTTTTATTTCCTTCCCAACGAGTCTAAGTTCACTTAAGATCATAAGTGACATGTATGAGTTCTGACAGTGCTTTAACTCAAAATTTTGTTTTGACTTGTACCGCTATTGCAGGCCACAAGCGATATGCATGAACACAAATGAAAACGCAAGACAGACACACACATATACACAACCACAGAATATACATACATTCAGTACACATACTCACAATCGTGTAGTTAGTCGACTTGGCGCAGCGCTACACGAAGCAAAGAAAATTAGGAAACGAGAGCTGTCCTCTTGTTTGGTATCACTGAAGGTCTGGCAGGAGAGCTCGACGACGCTGTTGGCGGCGCAGGAGTCGCGGGCGCGAGTCAGCGCGGCAGGTTGGCGCGCCGGCGCCGGCGTCGGCGCGCGCGCCCTCGGCAGGCGCAGCAGCGTTAGGGGCGCGGCCGCCGACGCGTTGGCGCCCGCCTCCAGCGCCGCCCGCCGCGCCACCGCCGCCGACGGCAGCTGCACGGCGCTCGTTCACGGCGCCGGCCGCCAGCCCCATGCCGCGGCACACGGCGTCGCTCCACGTGCTGTCCCACCCGTCCGAGCACACCGCCGCCCAGCCCGACTCGCGCCTGCAACGCACCACACAGCGCGTTGACACACACGAAGAGTTGTCAGACAGGAGGACTTGACAGATGGTTCTCTGTGTATGTCGACGCGCTGAAGCCAAATCTGAAGCCATTACCCTCCAGCTTTTTTAACGCGAAAACCCACCGTAAAATTGTAAATTAGAAATTTCATGGTAGTTTTTCGCGATTAAATATACTGGCGCAATTCTGGCTTCAGATTCGCATTATCAAACGCGTCGACATACATAGATAAACATCTGTCAAGTCCTTGGGTATGACATTTATTATGGGAGGGGGAGGCTGTGTAGTTGGTTGAAGTTTGAGGACGCTTCAGCTGCGGTGGGTGTTCACGCGGGGATGGTACGGGAATTGGGAAGGTGAGATTGCGCATGGCCCGTTGCACAGGACACTACTCCGGCGTGCGCATGAAAGTGACAAGGGAAACCACGACAACCAGTGATTAGAGCAGTTGGCGGACGAATACAATTCCGATAGGAGCCACAAATTCACTGATGTGAAGTACATCTAGCAAAGTTCTTCCCCCTGTCGGCATAGAACCCGCGACCTACCAATCACTCATACACTCGGCCATAACAGCTACCATTTCAGTTTTTACAGCCAAGTTACAAGTACTGTGGAAAGAGTAATGGAGATGGAGATTTAAATTAGAGGGAGGGATAGGGAGAGAGGGGAATAGGGAAAGAGAGGGATAGTGGGAGAGAGGGATAGGGGGAGAGAGGGATAGGGGGAGAGAGGGATTGGGAGAGAGAGAGGGATCGGTAGAGGGATTGCAAGAGAGAGATATTGCGAGAAAGGGAATGCGAGAGAAAGGGAATGTGAGATAGATAGGTAGATAGAAACAGAGATAGATAGATATATAGATAGATAGATAGGAAGGATACGAAGAGAAACGTTTAAGATATGGCATACCACTCAGCTTAAAGGCTTTTCGAAGGGGCCTTGAGTGGATGGAAGTGAGAAGTGAAACTTTATATTTATCAACATTACCCCCTTTTCTTCTTTCTTCACTCTATTACTCCACGCTACGACATAATCGGTACCGTCAGCATGTTGAAAACATTAGGCCTCGGATATTAAAATTAACACCTGTTGAGTTGTTTATTTACAGATAAGAACAACAATCACCCCCAATCCGTGTACGTTAGTCTTATCTGAATTCATTCTTCTTTGAGTTGTCTTCCAGCGGAACGGCGCCAACAATCTTTAGCCAAATACGAAAAAATCAACAATCACACGCTTGCAACCTCACTACACGCGCTATTTCAATGCTAATGGTCTTTCTTTACTTGCAGACCAGAAAAAAAAATTCAATGAGCAAGAATTATGTAGGTGTGTAGGAGAAGATATACGTAATAAAGAAGGAGTAGAATGCAAAAGAAATACGAAGGAATACACAAAACCACAAATGTTTTGTATTCTTTGTAAAATGAAATTAAGATAAATTAATTTGTATTCGGAATTGTTGTGAAAAGTTCATGTACTTAACATTCTATTTTAGATTGAAACTATATAATATAACTTTATTCACACAATTTTTTGTGTGTACATATATTTTCATTCACCGCAGAAAACTATTACTCTCTTAATGAAAATGTTGCATAAACAGAAAACATTTGTGGGATTTTCCTGAGAAACACACTTCAAGTTCTGTTCGTCTCCCGAGAGAGCCGGTACTTGCGGCGACATTGTTCGCTCCGTTATTTTCAACGCGGAGCCAACAGAAAGTACTCGGTTTGCTTATGTAGCCGGAATACTGTGGGATACACTGGTGACCTAGAAGATAGCCGCTTCATAGGTTCGTTCGTCAACTTTAATGCACATTGTCCGAGACTTACGGAGCGATGCAGCAGATAAATGAGTTTTGTGTAATGGGCAATAAACTCGTTCAGACCAACATGCAGTTGGCAACGAATACAAAACCCGAACCACCAAGAGAACTTAAGTGATAATTACGCGTATATCAGTTGTCCAAAATGTAATCGCAATCACTAATAACGAAGTTTGGAAGGCAACTTTGTTTCATACAGGGAACTTTAAAGAACATTAATTCTTCACAAGCTGAATAAAATAACGGTTCGTAATCTTGCATTTGAGGAGATAAAACAGACAAAACTAAGAAGAGCTGGTGACTTTGACTGTAAGAAGGAAAGAGGAGTGACGAAGAGGGGAAGGAGGAATGAGGGAGAGCAGGGGGGAAATGAAAAGCAGAAATGAGAAATCAGGTCAATGGTAACGAGAGGAGAGGAATAGGGATGGGTCGAATTTTCTGAGAGGAAAAACGGAGGAGGAAGGTACAAGAAAATGTGGGAATGGAAATTAAGGAAAATAGGGAAGTGTGTGTGTGTGTATGTGTGAGCGAGAGAGAGAGAGAGGGAGAGAGAAGGGGAGAGAGAGAAGGCGGAGAGAGAGAAGGGGGAAGAGAGAAGGGGGGAGAGAGAAGGGGGAAGAGAGAAGGGGGAGAGGGGAAAGGAGAGAGAAGGGAAGAGTAAAGACGAAAATGGATGAGGGAGGAGACAGAGAAGGTGAGAGAGTGACAAGGGGGAGAGTGACAAGGGAAGAGAGAGAAGGGTGAGAGTAAAGGGGAGAGAGAAGGGAGGAGTAAAGAAGAAAGGAGAGAGAGGGGATGAGGCAGAGGGAGGGGAAGAGGGAGAGGGAGGGAAAGAGAAAGAGGAAGATGAGACAGAGGTGACGAGTAGAGGGAGGGGAAAAGGGAGAGGGACAAAAAAACAAAAAAAAGAAAACAGCGGTACATCTACAAGCAAGAGAGCAACGGCCGCACGAAGCCCACACTCACCGCACTTGCAGCAGGCGCGTGGAGTTGTGCAGGCGCACGCAGTCCCACTCGTCGCTGCCGTCGGGGCAGTCGCGCGCGCCGTCACACACGCGCTCCCGCGCCACGCACCCGCCCGCGTGACACGCGCGCTGCTCCACGGGGCACTCTGCGCACACGCACATCACACATCACAAACACACGTCACACAGTGAAAGCAGGCACATCCCAATTGCATCCCGATTGGTGTTTCGACAGGGGGAAGTGGAGGACACAATATGGTTTTCGTTTTAATTCATAGTAACTCAAATAGATGTTCTCGATCATGGCGAGAGAAAACCTCGAACACAGGCGAACGTCACAGTGTCTAATTGTGTATGTTACCAATCTAAAATATAATTATTTTAATGTAGCATATTTTAAGGGTGTACTTTTCGAAGCAGTACACGATATACGTAGAAATTAGTTTTAATAAATTAAGAACATTCGATACACTTGAATTTCAAAGTAACAAACTGGCCTCATTCTTTCTGAACCAGTGCAACACAAGAGTATGTCAAAATGAACGTGAAAATGGACATTTCAACACTAGCTCTCTCAGAACCACTGATGCCCAGCAGAGATCTTCCTTGAGGTCGCAAGGGTAAGCGAGCGGAATGCAATGGGGCGATGCCTTTTTGAGGAGGAGGTAAAAGGCTTAGGCAACGACTGCGGGATGCAGTCGGGATTCATCCCATGGAACAATTAACACAGGGAAACACAGAGCAATAATGATCTTCGTAACTGCGTGATGTCTTCAGCCTCGTTATAGTATCTTGTAGTTAAACTACACAAAAGATGTTTGAAAAACTTTGTTTAGGGACAAAACATTTTCGTGGGCATATTCACTTTCAGAATTCCTTTGAAGTTGATATGAATATTACTTTTGGGTGAAGAATGGCCACGAGGGGATGCCATGTTCTTCAAATTTCTCGGGATACATGTCATTGGTGTGAAATCGTTCCTTTGTTATGTAATACGAGTAATTGAACTTGGCTAATTCTATCATGAAAAATAAATTGATTTATCTTAGGAAAAATTATTAAAGTACAGTAAAATTTGCAATATTTGTAGCAGAGATTTTCAAATAAGATATTTCTTTCGATAAATGGACATGGAAATAAGTGAAAATATAAACTTAAAATACTTGATTATCTTTCTATTATCATGTGTATTCCAAAGAATGCATGATTATTCAGACACAGTTTTACTTTACAAAAATGTAATAAACAATTTGTTTAGATTTATTGTCAGACATTCCTTTTTGAGGAATTTTACAAATGAAAGAACAATATAACTTAATAAAAGAATCCAAAATAAATTACTTTCACTATTTTGTTATACGTATTAATTAGGTTACTTTAATTAATCACATTTTTGCAAATTGTTCAAGATGAAAAGTTTCAATAAATTAAAGCTTTATCATGTAGCATGGACAAACGTATTCTTTGGAAATGTTTTAATAATGCGTTTCAAAATGTTGAAGCTTTTTGCAAGAACAGATAAGGAAGTTAAATATAATAGCAAGCATCACAAGAAAAAACTACTAATCTACTCATCTCCAAGTATTTTACAAAAAGCGAACTTCAAAATATCCACTTTCTGGGCCACGTTACAACCTGCAAAGGCTCAGCCATGCACAGTTGCGTTCACGCATGGACTTAGCACCCGTGAACTACTTTCTTGTTTCCATCTGGACCACTTGGCTGATCGCTTAGCCCCCCCACCCCCCACCCGACGGCGCCGTAAGAGCGCCTATTGCCACCGCCCACGCGGCGCTGGCCGCCAAGGCCACGTCCCTCACGCGCGGTCCCGCTACGCGACAGGATCGACCGAGCAGCGAACAGCAGCACACGCGGAGGCGATGCGCCCGTGAGCTATGTTGCAGTGAAACGAAATTCGTTGACATGCGCTCCGTGAGCGAGAAACAGGGTCGGAACTTTCAATTAGCCACCTACTTGGCGATATTTGAGTAGTAGAAATTGTAGCTGATAGCAAAATATATGCTATCGTTACAAGTTTCCTTACAATAATAGTTATACATTGAGGAGCTTCACAGTTTTGTTATTTGGAGTTTTTATCTTATTTTCGCGTTTTATATCGTAATTCTTAATACACTGAGAGAATTGTCTTAAAGCCAAATCATGAGCTGTTCAAGTTTCAGATCTATTTTACAGGAATATTAGAATCATAGAAAAAAGGCTTTTTCTATGGTTCCGTTTCACCAGATTTTATTTCCTTCCATAAAAATGACTAATGAATTGGGATATCGAATTCGTCGAGAGAATGTCACCGCAATCTTCGTTCCCAATATTTTAAATATATTACATATTACGTACGAATTTTCAAATTCTATGTGATTTATACACGACAATAAACTAAGTTTCAAATCCAGCTTTTTCAACTATACATGCTTAATATAATAAAATGTTTTGTATCACGGCCGTAAATACTGCCTGAGTAAGAGTGATTCTCAATAGATTGGTAGAGTATTTCTTTCTCTGTTCAGAAATTTTAATGCACGACCAGTCTTAGTAAATCGCGTAAAATACTTTATTAGCTCTCAAGCCTCCAACGGCACAACGTAAACTAGATATTTAGTTACAAATCGTTCCCAGAAAGTGGGGCATGTAAAGAACAAAATGTCTCTGCGTCTAGCAGGCGAAGCGAAACAGTCCACGGCAATTAAGCGCGGAACCGACTAGCGCCGCTGAGGCCGAGGGCGAGAAGGGGCGAACAGCTGCGCCAAGAAATGCAGCGGGTAACGGGCGCCGTTGCAACAGATTCGCTGTCCTCGGAGAACGAAAGCGATAGATCGCGGCTAGGCCGGGAGGCATTTCCACCCGGCCTGCGACGGCGACGCCTGCGCACAGCAGCGCAGATCGCAAACCTACACTCTCTGCTAGAACAATGGAAAGCTGGACGTCGGTCTGCGCAATTACTAAGACAACGCCGAGTGCGTTGAAACTCCACAGTGCCACGTGGAAGCAGGCGACACAGGCTAAAAGACTCAGCACAAGATAACGCATTGTTGCTAAAGATAATGGTTGTGCTTGTAAGTGCGTTGAATTCCAAGTAGCTGGTACGAGCACGATAATGACGCGAGGCTGTATGTGTGTGTGTGTGTGTGTGTGTGTGTGTGTGTGAGTGAGTGTGTAGGCAGTGAGTCATTGTGGAGAAAGCGACCGAAAGGAATTGAAACACTTTGAATTCTCGAGTCTAAAAGAAAAATAGTAGTGTTTATATAATTTTGAGTATCAATTCTATTGGAGTATTTATCAAAAAGCTGATACAAAGTTGTTACTTGTTGCATTTATTCTTTTGTTTCTTTCTAGTAATTTCTCAGTTTAAACTTGACATGAGTATGACGAAGCAAATAACACATATGGCACAACATTAATTTTTTTTTTGAAAAATTGGTAAACATTTTAAGGTTTATTCGCAATTATCACAAATTCATTTAGGCTAGCAGTTACAAAGGCTTCTTTTACAAAAATGAATTCATATACCAAAGTTCAATTACAGCGTAGTACATTAGAGACAAGTAAAATCGAAAGTGTTAACTGAATTCTGGATGTGATAAGGACCCACCTAATCCGTTTGACGTGAACGAGGGAAATACTTGCTTCCTAATAACCAAATACATTGACAAATATGTCACTCAATGAAATTCAATTATTTTTTCACCGCTAATTTGTAATTTCTCACTTTTGTAAAGACGTTAATATGCGAAAAGTTAATGCGTACATGATTTGAGAGAAACACCGAGAATATTGGAATACGTTGTTTCGAGGTAATTAAAGTTTTCAAAAAACAATTATATTTATTGAAAACACATGTACCAACTTACTATTGCACGTGCTGTACGTACAATTACAATCTGGATACAACGTAATATGTTATATTTATCGTCACAATTTATTAAACTTTAAATGAATGTGAGGTTTTTTTTTTTGAAAATCTTAATTATTTGGAAACAACGTACAACTCCCACTCGGCGCCTGCCTCGCCCATCGCATTCTAGGCGACGCGGCCGCACTCACCGCACAGCTTCTCGTCCTCGCCGCCCGCGCAGTCGCGCACGCCGTCGCAGCGCAGCGTGAGCGGCGCGCACCAGCCCTCGGGGCACAGGAACTCCTCGTTGCCGCACGAGCCTGCAACAGCGCACGTCACCACCTCGCACCGCTGCGCGCGGCGGGCACGGGGCACAAGGGCGATGGATGGACCGTTCAGTGGCAGAGCTGAGGGCTCCCGGACCCCGCTCATTAGGGGATTCGATTAAAACGTTAAGTCCGGATGCACATGGTCAAGCTGGGACGCTGTCATCCAATCGGGAACTTCAAAGTCACCATTATGACGTCACTATAGTGACGTTCAAGCTCCCGATTGGATGACGGCATCACAGCTGATCAAGTGTCAATGGTCTGAAAAATAATTATATTATTATACATGCAAAAATGTACTTATAGTGTATTATGAAATGATGGATATTAATACACATTAATTGCAATAAGAGGAAGAAACGAGCTAGTGAGTATATTGATAACCACCACATCGTATTGCATACAGGCCTTTATTACGACTAATGATATATATTATAAGTTAAACTTTTACCTTGAACATTTATGTGGCAGCTAGCGTGCAGGGTTCAGTCAATGCCACCTAAAGCATAGTCACCTCTAGAACCAAGAGGTCTCCAAGGTGGCACTGACTAAGCACAAGCGCAGTCCCATTACACAGTTTACTTTATACCAACTGGGGCCGTTTCCGAATATTAATATAATCGTAAAAATAAATTGGTTGCTAAGCAAGTTCATTATTTTCAGTCTTAGAATTTCTTTTGCAAAAATAATTCACAAAACTGGTCAGACAGACAGACTCTGCTATACATTCAAGGGGGCAAATTTATATAACCCACCTGCACGATCTCCCTGGCCAATAACTCAGCGGAAAGTTTTACATTTGAAAGTGGAAGCCGGACATGGGCGTAGAGTTGTATGACGCCGCAGAAAAAAACGAACTTCCGGAAAGAGCATTGCGCCCGCATAAAAAGCAATGTCATTTATAAGGGATTCAATGGAGAGCAAGATTGCATCAAAGTAGAAGTTACAAAAAAGGGAAGCTAGAACTAGTTCTTACAAAAGTGTTCTTCAGGAATGTGAGAGTGTCACCACTTTAGAAACATGGCCAATCTGATACAAAATTCCACTAACATAATACTAACGTTTGTTGGCAGAAGTAACGCAACAACTTTCTCTGTTCATAAATGCGAGTTGCGAGTTCCTTAGCATCCTACTTGGGAGTAAAACGGTATTTCCACAACAATGCCGCAGCGAAAATTGCCACACTTACTTTCGAAAAATGTTTAACCAGCAAAGCACCTGAAAACAGCTAAACAGAGCCTGACGTGGAGATGCCCGTATTGTGTAACTCGCACTGGGGTTAGAATCACATGCCAGGGATAATAAACAAAAAAACACGAAACAAACACCAACATTCGGTACTCCGATGAGATATTTCATGAACACTAAATTCTTCTCTAAAAATTTATTATATTAAAAAACATTAAGGCATGATAGTCTGTACGTTACGTTGCCCACGTTTAACATAGTTTTAACTCTGTCAAATTACCTCAACGAAATAACAAATTTGACGAAAACGAGGCTAGAGATAAAAAGAAACGATCTAAAGCTGGTTAACATATTAACCAGCAGTCTAAAGCAGGTTATCACATTAACTTGAAGAAATGAAAAATTGTCAGAAAAATACGTCTAAATGATGTAATTACTCCTGATATATTAAGATCATTATCTCTGCGAGAAGCTTTAAAATTAAACCCCTTTTTCTAGAAATTAACAAATCTAAATCAATTTTGCAAACCGCGCATACGTGATATTTCGAAAAAGGATTGCATTTACTCTTGACCTTAGATACCTAAAAATACGAAATAGTTCTTAAAACTTTTGAACAGTAAACAATTTTTTAATACATATTGTTTTTTACTTTTTAAAAATTTTATACGTTTCAAAATCTTGCCATTGCACGAGCGTTTATTTATTACAATCATATATTATATGGCAGGATTACATGGCATTGTCCGGATTTTGCTTAACACTTAACACCAATAAATTGGTCTTTCTCCGCGTGTAGGTGAAAAAAATCAAAGTGTAATGAAATATAAACATTTTATTAAGAATATTTTTTAATCTGTCTAACTAAAGTTTTCTGTGTTACTCCGGCACTAATTTTTCACAATTTATTAAACAGGAATTGTATCTATTCCTGCTCAGTTCGCCCACTTCTATTCCGTTTAGTGCATTCTGTGCCCACTCAGCTCCTCAACCCACTTGCCTGACCTTGGACTGTCCCCACCACCAAACCCCTGGGATACTTCACTCACTTTCTAACTAAAATAATTAAGTCATCTATTCTTATAGAAAAATAAAATACATTTACTCAGGTCCCTTCTTTTGGTATGGTTTTATGTATCATACCAGTACCATTCCCTGCAAAAATAATCCATCTGTCACACTTTTAGAATAAATATAAGAATTTATATATTCTTGATTCATAATTTTTCCATATTCATTTCATTTCTCTTGCACATTTAAAACTTTCAAGCCTGGATGCAGTTAATGTGTGATACATACTCGTTCAAAGTGATAAATACCATTGAAAACAACTTCACTTTTCTTTAATAGAATTAACTTAATTTATATTGCCCAATTAAATAATTCAATCAAATAGTTTGCTATGTACTCTTTTAAATATTGAAACATTTGTTAGAGGGCCCAATTGTTAGGTAACTTAGAGCTTTCAGAAATAAAAATTCGGCATAATAAATATTAACTTGTACAGAAATTCATAGCGATATATCAGAAGAGCACGTTTTCATGATCTAGGGAAGAAAATTGATGACTTTGACAGCATCTAAGCTAACCTATTTAAAATGAATACTAAATATCGAAAAGCTGATTATAACTGTTTACAGAGCTTCCTTACAAGTAAACTATGAAGAGAGGCGGGAACTTGTGAGAGCGTAGGCTTCCGCGGCCGGAGTCACTATTTACTTGGCTGTCCGGGTGACGCCGCGTCCATGGCGAAGGTGCCGACGTTTCGGTCGCTATTCTGCGACCTTCTTCAGGGCGTAGTGCATTATTGCCCTGAGGAAGGTCGCAGAATGGCGACCGAAACGTCGGCAATTTCGCCATTGACGCGACGTCACCCGGACAACTAAGTAAATATAGGCGGGTACTTACTCTGACAGTTGAACTCGTCGGCGTGGTCCGGGCAGTCGGGGTTCCCGTCGCACTGCCACAGCGCAGGGATGCAGCGCCCGGACGGGCACCGGAACTCGTCGAAGCGGCACTCCCACTCGCCTGCGACACACACAACAGCGACTCCTCACCACCGCCGTCCGGCGAAGCGGACGGCCGACCCCCAAGACAGGGAGCTTCCGTTCGTGGAAGCAACGCGTTTAAATGGGTTTGCAAGGCTTCCGCGGCTGGAGTCAAAACATTCTTGGCTATCTGGGATGAGCCGCGTCTCGGTCAATTGTAGTGACGTTTCGGCCATCTTGCTGTGGCCTTTTTCAGAGCTATACTGCTGAGAGCAACTCTGACTTATGTTCAGTATAGCTCTGAAGGAGGCCACAGCAAGATGGCCGAAACGTCAGAACAATTGACCGAGACGCGGCTCTCCCCGGATAGCCAAGAATGCAACGCGTTTGAATATTCCGTCAAATTGAAAACAGAGGTACAGTTGGTTGGTACAGGAGATCAAGGTCCTTTAATTTGCCTACGCAAGGAGAATAAAAGTTACACACCGCCGACCTGGAGCCGAGGTCACTAGAGAAGACTAACTGCCTCGTGCCTGAAGGGTTGCGGGTTCGAATCCCACCCGGGACATAAATGTATGTGTATACTGATGCCCCCAAATGTTACTTATAGTAGTCGCCATATGACCTTAGTAGTTCAACAGCGATCTTAAATAAGTAACAAGAAGTTACACTCAACTTTACAGATATTGGTGTGCGCTATCTCCAGTAGTCTGTATGGGATCATCCCAATATGAACTTAAAACTTTTTTAATTGAGCATTACGTATTATAATAAGTTTGGAGATGGGATACATTCGCGAGAGAATGTTTTATTTTAGTATGACTGACCTAACGATAGCCGCGCTATAAAGTAATAAATTTTTGTCATGTCATTACTTAAGTAAATTTTTGATAAGCCTTTCGAAAATTTGCTTTAATAAAATATTTCGTGCACAAGCATAATATACTTTTACTATGATTTTTTTTATAAAAAAAGCAATAATACTAGATTACTCATTTCCATGCTTTACGACGACTCAGTAGAAGCCAGTACCAGCACAGCAGTCATTAGTTATCTTGTTCACGTTATCTCTTACAAGCTCCCGCGTATTTATGAAAACACAAGACACGAGCGAGAGCGAGTGGCGGCGGAGGGAACAAAAACGTAATCGCAGCAACCAACTAGAGCGCATTCCGCCGCCCTTCGTTTTATCAGAGCCATTACTGCTCGCGGGGCGCGGCCCTCGGCCTCGTCGCTTGACAGCGTTTACACTGCGCCGTCGACTTCCGCTGCAGCGGCGCGCGTCGCCGGAAGGCGCCTTCCGCGCGCCGAACGAAACAAACGCGAACCGGCGGGCGCGCGCGCGCAGGCCGCGACAGAGCCGTCTCAAACACCGGCAGAGTTCAAGGAAAAGCTTGTAGACGGTGAATTGATTCACTGAATGAGTATTTCGGGATCCCGGAAGCATCAAATTCTAAGGTCAATAGTAGCGTAAGTGTAGTGCATGTATCTATGCAGGTATCTTTTACCAGCTGGGCACCGCCCCAGCCGGGACAAGCTCTAAGCTTCCAACTGGTCTCTCAACGTGGGATAATGTAGTGCATGTAAGTATAAGTATATGGAAGTAAGGAATGAAGGTAGGGCACGGATGAAAAGGAGAGATTGCATGCAGTCCGTGGCTCGTAGTTAAGATACTGTTCGTACGGCATTCGGCTTATGTTGAGCAAAGTAACCACGAAAAACTACCGATCACACGGCCTCTAGAATTCTCTAAACAGTGACTGAACTCGACCTAGCTATGAATACAGTGCCGAAAATCATACCACCCTGAGCTCGTAGAGCATATCTTGTCAAGCCTTCCTTGCGCCGGTTGTAAAACTGGCCCATTTCGCGAATAAAGAATATAACAAATGCGTTAGACCAACAACAGGTGCGAGACCGGCTTGACAGGTCGCGCTTGCTCACTGACAAATATTCCCTTCATTCCCTCCTTTCTTGGCATTTTTCTTGAGCCAAATGTGCTAGGGAGTATAGAAGGTGTCTGCTTCTTTGTGCGCAAAAAAATGAGCAAGGTAGCGACGGAGACTGTTTTACAACTGACACGAGGCACACTTGACAAGCCGCGCTTGCCCGTGTATATTCTTTAAGCCCTCCCTATCCTTAGGCACGATGTGAGGAAAAGTGAACAATGTTTCTCATCTCTGAACAGTGCCGACAAAAAATAATCACGAACTTAATGTTTCGTGGGCTTGGAGGAACATGTAAATGACTTCAAAATATATTCGATTCTACTACAATTGTAAGAGTCACAAATAAATTGAAA